TATTCTTTGGTGTCGTTCCAACTAGAAGTCAGCATTGGTACTCCTTATCATCCTCGCTATATATATATATATATATATATATATATATATATATATATATATATATATATATAATTTCCACATAAGTTGTGTTCGCATAGCTATGACATGGTTCTGAATCCTGCTCAAAACTACATTTCTTAAACTTTTTCTGCTACTAGTGGAGTGTGCCGAGTTGTGACAGTATATTTTATATTTAACTGATCATATTTGTCTACCTAACTAATTTAACTGCTGAATTTGAAAGAGGTGCATTACCATGCGATGGTAATTTGTCTTAGCATGTACAACAAACTGTATGTGTACAACACATGAAAAAAAATAATAATAACTACTTGCTGTTGCTGCCCCTTTTGTATCTCTTGCAGTGGAATCTCTGCATGTACCTAAAATTTAGGTGGCCATTCATGTACGGGCAATTTCTTTTAACACAAAGAATGCTTAGATCTGGATAACTAGAATTAGTGTTATTTATTATATTATTAACTCTTCTATCAGGCTCATTACCCCGAAACAATTTTGCTATTCTATATGAAAATTATATATACATTGACAAAACTGCCCAATTGTTCTTAAACTATTCGTTTTTCTACTCACCTTTCACTCTTGGAGGTTGCTTTCCTATGTTTTACCTTTTCCTTGTTCTGGGAAGTTCACTTGCTGTTATAAGTAAATGAAGGGACCTGAATCCATAATTCATTCTTGCATTTCGAAGTTGTGATCTAGATTGGAGATCTACTGAAAATATGATGCTTCGAGATCTACTGGGACTTCAAAAGTACAATTTGCTTCTTTTCTGACTTAAAGAATCAAGTTTCTGATCGACTCTTCGTTCAACTCACTGCTATCAATTGTTGCTTTGATTTTCTTATCACCATTTTTCGTGTCTTTCTCCTGGATCTAGTTAGATCAATGGTTATTGTGGATCTTATGATTGCTAAAATATGTTCTAAAGGTTCATTGGGAGATATAGCTTTTTTGTTGTAGTTGGTTGTAATATTGCTATCAGGCCTACTTAATCTTTGATGATAGCTTCTGTGTTAATTGTTTATGTATTATTATTTGGTGCTCGACATTTAGAAATATTAATCCAATTGTTAAGGAACCTTTTTTTTTCCATGAACATGGATTTTCATTCTATGACTATAGATGTCACGTATTGATGAGACTTTTTTCTTGTGTTTGTTGAAAAGGTTGAAGCATCAAAGAAGAGTAGGCCTAGCAAATCTCTTTATGCGAAGGCCACAGACACAGGAGTTGATCCAGAAGTAGCTGCAAAGAGGCTTGATATAGACTGGGATTCGGCTGCTGATATCGAACTTGAAGAAGAGGAGGTTGAGATTGAAGTGCCACCAGCAGTGGTAAATATCAATATTTAACACTAAAATCTGGAGTCCGTTAATAGTTCGACCAAGATAAGTAATATCATATATATGCTGGGATTATATAATAGGTTTTACATGGAACTCTGACACAAGTGTTCTGTGTTTTTGTTAATTCTCCTTTTTGGTCTATGTTGTTGCTTACTTCAACCGCTTGGTCGTATGCAGGGATATGGCGCTCTCTACTTGGTGACTGCATTGCCAATTATAATTGCTGTCTCGGTTATACTAATCCTGTTCTACAATTCTCTGCAGTAGTAATTTGGCACAACCTTTTGTCGTAAAGTCAACTGCTGCCAACTAGATTAGCAGCAGATTGAGTACTGCATTCTTTTTCGACGACATATTATTTGTACTAGAATTGTGTTTTTCCTTTCTCCCCTCTTCCCCCCCCCCACCCCCCCTCTTGTCCAGCCATGTAACTAAAAGCTCATATTGGCTTCGGCTTCCGATGCCCAAACCAGGTAAAGTCTCATTCTGTTATGTGTGCATTTTATACTCTCCCTTTCTGAAAGGAAAGAAGATTTATAGCACATGCAGACAAATGGATTTCAGAGGTGAAAAAAAATTATTGACAGATGGGATAGTATGAGAAGTTCTTAGAGGCATTTTGTTATTTGGGACTACACTACGCATGAAGAGGAAGGAGTCACCCCGAGTTCATTGCTCCGGTGTCTGCATGAGGCAAAATGCTGGCGCTCTGCTCTTATCTTAGCACCACAGACATACTGTACTGAAGCAATCAAGTGCTGCAGTTGCTGTTGTCTCGTCAGCCATTCCCCCTTTCCTTGGCATGTGAGCATTCCTCAACAAAATGTGCAAGCCAAGGGCCTACCAAGGCTGCTGCTGACAGAGTAGGAGACCAAACACTTGGGCGGGCGAAGACATCAAGATGAGCCAGTGTTTATGGTTGTCTCCCCCTCATTAATGCTGAATTAAATCGTGTTCACCTTCTTTGTATGAAAGCTGATAAGAACAGATACGATGATTAGTGTCGTGATTAGATGTTTTCCAACCTCAAGAAACTCGGTGGAAGTGTGCAATTTAATGCGACTTATCGATAAACTCGCCCCCTTGTGCCAAATGACTGTTCAATAAACTCTCGTATTCCTTGTGATGGTTTGTTGATGAGCGATCGCTCGCTCGGCAGCTTTTAGGTCGTCGGTCGTTCGAATTTACGAGTCTTCTTTATTGTTTGTAAAGCTTTCAATGCTCTTTTTGTTGTTTGTTGGGTGCAAATTCGAATGTCTTGTATAGTGTGTCCATGATTGTTTTACTTGTATAATTGTTTGTTGGTTAATATTATTTGCTTGTAGTGTGCCATGGCAGCCGACGAGGTTACAAGTCAGTCATGTAACTTTGGGCAAGTGCATGATAACAGCTACACCTTTTTTGTTTTTGTTTTCCTCCGAAAATACGTATAATCATAATAAACAATCATAAAATTCCTTGTTCGATATCTTTGCTGTAAATTGCTCGATGCCTGCCTGCCTCAGGGATATGACATCCATTTTCCAAACAGCATAAACTTTTTTATATGATTGCAGGATTACACACTCTAATTGCATGAGCGACCCCGTAACCATGCTAGTAAATTCCCAAGGTTTACCATCTGAATCCATTAATGGTCCAGAACATAAGGCGATGTTGACAGGAACAGCTAATTGATAAGTCCCAGTTTAATGCAAGAAAATATCACATTTCCATGGACTTCATGATTAAAAACAACTTACTCTGTAGTCAAGAATCATCCTCCACTTTTATCCAAATAATAATAATAATAACAATCATAAATTTTAATTTATTTGGGGATCAGCTATACCATTAATATTTATATATATAAAAAAAGAAACACAAAAACAATCTATTTCTCTCTCTCGGTTATCTTCCTCGATCCAAATCATGGAAATTCCAGTCGACTAACTTGTGCATATTTGATGCTCCACATGCGGAAGGAATTCTTGGTATGGACGACGGACTGCGTGCTGCACTCCTTATGTTAGCAGTGAAAAAGGAAAACCCGAGTGATAATAAATCGGAACCGCACTCCAAAAGATGTCAGCACGGTATGGTATCTATCAGTCACATCGTCTCCGGCTTCACTCCCAACCAAATACAGCCATTCCGAGAACCCTTGTCGAGTGTCCCGCGGGAAGACATGGCATGTGCCCTCCAACACATCAACTATGAGACGCCAAGCTTCGGCAGTCCCACCTCGCCAATCATACAGTATGCTGTCAAGCGTTTGATCGCCCTCAGCCCATCGGCGAAGGGTACCAAACGCAGTTTGTGTAGGTTCAGATGTCAGTGGTTGTTGATCATGACCCACAGGCTGCCACATGAATGTGTGTCCTAAAGAACAGAGAGGTTTTGACAGGCGACACATGCATCCTCTTAATATTCACATCGCCAGAATGTGCTTACGAAATGATTGGATGATGATGCCTTCTCCCTCCTTTTCTTTTTTTCTTTTTTTCCCAAAAGAAAAGAAAGAAAAAAATAAATAAAATAAAACAGGAGAAAGATTCTGATGCGACCTTCCAATAGCATTCCTTTGGATCATCACAGATCGCCTCTCACAATTCTTGGCTTCAAGCTGTCCTACCAATGCCAGCAATCCGCTTCAGCTGATACGCCACAGTGTGATTCTTCCTTTGCCTCCTGAATGAGTAATCGATCACCTACCTACCGTACGAGTTTTAGAACGTATTATTCATACACAAGCAGCAGCCCTTATTTCGAGGCCGCTATTTGATCCCAACCTCACACAAGTACTGAATACATACATGACAAGGTTAAGGAGATGACAGCAGCATTTATTATAAGGTTCAAGCGTTCATAGGATGGATGATCCAATGATCCAAATGCGTGTGTGGGCTACAAGTTAACCTCCCCGCAGTGCTTTGGGTGCAGAGAATGGAAGAAAATAAGAGGAGCGTGATGCATCGACGACAAGGTTTTACCTCTAATAGGACCATCAACTTCGGCAGCATGCTCATAAGTTCATTTGCCTGGTATCCACATGGCAATGCAGCAGATGAATGCAGACATCTCTTTCTGGTTGCAACATCGCTTAATTAATTGTCTGCTTCCAAGCGTACCAGGAGTTCATCGGTAAGCCCAGGAGGCCAATAAGAGCTTTTTTTTTTATCCGCATCCGAGTCGATTGATATCAGCAGATTTACTGGTGCTTCGTTCCATCAAAAGTAAATGAAACCAAAAGCCAAGTTTTGACCTCACTACGAGCGAGCGCTGCTCGAGTGATTTCTTGCACCATAAATCACTAATCACCTCCACATTGATTCCAACAGGAAGACTCCGTTGGTGACTCAAGAAAAATCAGTAATCACCTACCTGTTGCCGTCTCATAAACTCCACAAGTGCTTCTACAGCCTTGCTCGTCTTCCATGATCTGTATCTGACCCAAATAAACCTGAGAATTGTTAATGGAGTTGGTGCTCCCTTACAGACACTCCTAGTGGGCATGAGTAAAATGCCTTCCCTACAACTCTTCATCTCTGCACAATACACCTAAAACCCCAAACAAAATTCCCCATTACCACAGCTTCGCACTGTAGAAAAAAGGTAAATACCTCACACCCCTCCTTTTAAGGTAGAATAGGGACCGGACCATTGGCCTCTCTAGAAAATGCCACTATGCCATTGTGCTCAGACCCACACACCCTACTACGACCTATTCATCAAGCAGCAAGGATCAAAGAATCGGGATGAGAGAGTTAGGGAGACAGAGACGGTGGAGATGGTTGGGCTTCCTTGTCAACAACCACTCATAGGTGCAAATTAAAGCGAAGGCACCTTCGAGGCACAGTTGTAAGGTATCTATCTATCCTTCATGCATCCAACCCGACTCACATAACCTTTGAGCTTTTTATTTAGCCTTTAGGTTTAGTCCCTGTGGAGACCAAGTCTCCCCCACAGCACTCATGCTAAGCATCCCTAAAGCCTACCAAGAGTGACCTGCCCACAAGCGCTTTGTATGGCAACACCCCCTATCCCTTGCATGTTTCGGCTTTCACCTGCTCCCCGTCTCCTGCACCTCCTACCTGTCCCCACCTTCCCCACCCCTTCCCCACAAGTTCCTCTCCCCTTCCCACCCTTAACAGTTATATATGCACCCTTTGGTCCTTCCTTCCTGCCATCCCACCTCCATCTTCATCGTTCCATTCCCTACAAATTCTTGTTATAGCTTCTCTTTCTCCCTTTATTCCCCATCCATTTCTTGAGGATGTGCAACTCGAAGATCCAGTCGGGCCATGCAATGGCCAGCGCGGCGGTGGCCGAGATCGACGGGAGGCCAGTCTTGCAGCCGGCATCCAACACGTCCAACCGCATCGCGACGCCGGAGGCCGGGCGGCCGCTCAAGAAGACCTTCCACAAGTCCATCTCTTTGCCTACCTCGTTCACCAAACATGCTGCTAGGTCTGACGTTGTTGACCCCGGTACTGCTATTCTGCCTAAGCTCTCACCGCCGGTCTCTCCCAAGCTGAAACCAGCTGCCAAGGCAGCGCCGAAGCGGAGCAACGATCCGAATGGGCTGAATACAAGCACCGACAAGCCCTCCGCCAAGTCGAGGCCTGCAATGATGACGAGATCGAAGAGCTCCGTCGGCGCAAGCCAAGTCGTGCCGTCTCTCGATTCCTCCTTGCTCTCATGTGATAGGGCTCCTGGCAGCATTGCCGCTGCACAGAGAGAGCACGCCGTGCTGATGCAGGCACAGCGGAAAATGCGGATCGCTCATTACGGGCGGACGCCGGCGAAGCTCGAAGGGAAGGTGGTTCCTGTCGATTCTTCCGTGCTCAGTGATGCCAGCGGCCAGGAGGAGAAGAGATGCAGCTTCATAACGCCAAACTCTGGTAAGAAGAGCTGTCGTCTCCTTCCACCTCAAAAAAGAGTTCTTCCCATCAGTACAATTCTAATCTCACCTTAAATTTCTTTCTTCTTCTGTTACGTAGATCCTGTCTATATTGCATACCACGACCGAGAGTGGGGAGTGCCCGTCCACGATGACAGGTGAGTTCGGATCTCTCTCTCTCTCTCTCTCTCTCTCTCTCTCTCTCTGTGCTTTTTTGTCGTGTGGACAGCAGAGAGTAACAGAGCCGATTGATCATGCAGAATGCTGTTCGAATTACTAGTGCTGGCTGGAGCTCAGGTTGGGTTGGATTGGACAACCATCTTGAAGAAAAGGGGGGAATTCAGGTAAACATGTCACGTACATTGAAACTAGAGAGAAAGAAAAGAAGGGAGAAGATTTGTGTTTTGTTTACATGTGCTTCTGGTTGCAGGGCCGCATTTGCCGAATTCGATGCAGAGTTGGTGTCCAAGTACACGGAGAAGCAAATGGTCTCGATTAGCGCAGCATATGGGCTGGATTTAGGGAGGGTCAGAGGGGTTGTCGACAACGCTAAGAGAATTCTCGAGGTACATGACCAAGTTATCATGCACAAATCTTTGTCCTCTTCCATCAGATTTCATGGGGTTATCAGAATACAAAAAACCACAACCTCGTCGCATGAAATGGACGATCGATCCAGGTTTATCCAGTTAATCGAATACTAAACAATCAGAGGAAGAAGAAGAAGAAGAAGATATAATATGGGCAAACCAATTGCATCCAGGAAGTTGTCTGAAAAATAAATAAAAAAAAGGAAAAATAAATATCATATGTGGCCTTTTGGTTATGCATTTCCAGATCCTTAAGAAAGCACCCGGTCGGATTCGCGACTAAGAAACAGTTGATAGAACAAGATTTAAATATGATCCAGGAACCCACATTACATACTTCACTGCTGCGCTTTACCTCTTAAAACACTATACATGCAGCACCAAAAGATGGAAATTGTATTCTGAATGTTCATAAACTCATCTTCTCCTTTCCAGCTCTCTAATCGGACACCGCATGTGACTGGCTTGGAACAGGTCAGAAGAGAGTTGGGATCCTTGGACAAGTATCTGTGGGGGTTCGTCAACCACAAGCCTCTCTCCACCAACTACACTTCATGCAGGAAGATCCCCGTGAAGACCTCCAAGTCGGAGTCCATCAGCAAGGACATGGTCCGGCGCGGCTTCCGGTTCGTCGGTCCCACCGTCGTCCACTCCTTCATGCAGGCCGCCGGCCTGACCAACGACCACCTCCTCTCCTGCCCTCGCCACCTCCACTGCTGCTCCCTCTCCACCACCAACTAACCGCTGACTACCACCACCACCACCATATGCAAGTTACTCGGGTTATTGGTGATAGCGGAATCTAGTGAGCTGTGACCACTTGTTGTATAAACACTGGTGTGAGGTTTCCCTGAGAGGTTTCTTCTTCTTTTCTTCCTTCTTCTTCTTCTTCTTCTTCAATGATAGGAATGTATGAAAGATGAGCATAATTGCATGTGGTGAGTGTCGGGGGGTGGAGACATGGCATGTGGGGTGACAGGCAATCGCATGTGTTGTCAGGGTGGGCTTTTCCCTTGAGCCATGTGACCACAACATGCCTCCATTATTCCTTAGGGTTATCCATCAACCCCAACACAACTCCATCAAAGTAGACCGCTGAAGGAGATCAGAATATGTCGACGGAGGCCTACCACAGACTCCATTTCACAACTAGACTCACTTTGCTTGACTCATTTGTTCTTGCTCCCGTGTAAGATTATTATGCTTGTGGCTTGCTTACTGCTGGAAGATTGCCTGTAAAACTTCCATCAATATAGTGGATTTGTGTCTACAGACAAAGAGTAAAAGAACAAAAAAGAATTTAGCCCGAGCGTGGGTTGATAGGTTTGCCATGTCCAACCGTACAACATGCGAGCGTATACTTGTTTGTTCCGACCATCTTCTTCTACACTGTACTGTACGCTTCCTTCTCTTTACAATTAAATGTGCCAACGCATGTTACATAAACCGAAGCTGATCGCAATGAATCGTTCATAATGGTTGTCACCAGATCACGGTCGTTAGATACATCTATTTATGGCGCCTGCCAGTAGAATCGACAATGCGCGGGTACTTGCAGCCCATCAGCACTGCTCTCTTCTTCATAATCATTCCTTCACTCCCACTCGACCCCAGGCATGTCTTCTTCGTCATAATTCTTCCCTTTTAGTAGGTTTCTTTTCTCTTTGTCTGAGAATTATTTGGAATAATCTAATGTCTTCCGTGCAACTGGAACCATTTTCCTTCTCCTACCATCGAAGAGCAGGGCATTGACTTACTTCTTTAAAGACATGATCGATTGGCGAGACTTGAAAAGACAGACAACAGGCATCGTCAGCTGGTTTTCTAAATTAGCTGCAGATTAAACAATGGAGTCTTAGAGAGATACATGTAATCAACAAGTTGAATTTGCTCTATATATTTCTTTCTTTCCTGTATGCTGCGTCATTGCGTAGCGGACAACCGGGGATGAGACTACTCACAAATGACCTTTTCCAATCGGAAGTTCCGCTCATCGAAGCATTCCTTAGGACATCACCCAACACAGCCAATCTCTTAACGGGATGATACAAGCCATCATCCTCCCTCTCTTATCGGCAGCATCGAACCGAATAGGTCATTAGTCAGAACAAGAAGATCTCGTTGTGCCTCAGCATCACCAGGAGTCCCAAGTTGACCATAAATCTGAAAAGACATGAGCAATGGTAAAAGAAATTGGACAAATGTCTCGATAACATAAGACGTAGGATCTAACCAGAGAAAAAACTTGATGAAGAAATCTATTCTTTTACCTCGTTGATAAAAGGGTACAACACCACTTGTGGTGTGAAGAAAAAAAATCATCTTTTTCACCGAATCAAACCTTTGTGAAATCATTAACAAAAGTAAGATAATAGTTAAATCTGCATATAGTTAGAAATAGATTTCGTGTCCCTAGAAAGCTCCAAGAAAATTTCTCAAAGTTGCCTGAGGTGACCACGAGATTGTTTGACATATATTATTGCAAACTTAGATCACACTTCATAAGAGGATTTTATAGAGACTACGGAGCGAATGATTTGAGGAGAGAGAGGCAATGAAAGTACTTTTAAGAAGATAATTTTGACGGATTCAAAAAGTGTGTTTAGGATTAAGAACTTCAAGATTATTCTCTCTAATTGTTTGTGGAGGGCAAGTGATGGTGCTATCTACATAACCCATGAGATCATAACTGATTAAAAGAGAATAAAATTGAATATTCTAAAAGGTATAGTTTGTAGATATGAGTTTGAGATGAGTTTAGAAACGTTAATAAAGATAAGAGTACTTTTAAAAGTAAAGACGTTGAGAATAATATGAGATGAATGTCTAGTTGAAGATACATCACTGGCCATGTCAAAAAATGAAAAAAAAAAAAAGAACCAAAGCAACTTAAGAAAAAGAAAGGCTTATTAGAGCAACAATAACAAAGAGATCTTGATCGTCATTATTGATAGAATCATCATAATTTTTATGATTTAGAATCACAATAATATAATATCAAAATATTAAAATGATCATGATAATCTTATCATGATTTATTTTTTTAATAGTATCTTTCCTAATAATACTCACAACTAAATCATGACATAACTTACACAACAAAAAGAAAAAGAAAAGCATTTGATGCCAAACACGCCCAGTTTTCACTCAATATATCTCCCAGAATAAGAAAACAACAAAAAATACTGCTTGAACATTATTGTTATTTGAAAGTAAACAAGCTCGTATCCTGAAGCATAATGAGATGCAAGTGATGTGATCATTATTTTGTTGGGTCAATTGAGTCTTGACATGTGAAACGCTATCAGTATGAATTGGAGGTTTGTCGTGCGATGAACTTTGAAGAGTTCATCAATAATAATAATAATAATAAAAATAAAATATATGACGTATATATATAATTCTTCATCAATGTATTAAAGTAGGCATCCTCCTGTTCTTCCCAATTTTCATTAATGTATTATTTTTATTGCATCGTCTCTGCAAGAACATGCGCTTACCAACTAACAAGTGGCGGATCAGTCCGAAACCTCGTCTTCGTCTTTTAATCATCCAATGGGCCGAATTCTCTCGTCGTCGGCCCAAAAGTTTCCCATTACGCAACGCGTGCGACTTCGAACGGACGAGTCGAAATCGAATCGAACATGACGATGTTGAGCGAGGCGGAAACGATCTTTCTCATCTCACGCGTGCGTATCCATCACCAGCCCATTCCCACCACCACCACCGTTTGTTTCCATGGCTGGCCGCGCGCTCATCCCGGCCGCAACCTTCGCCTCCTCCTTCCCTATCCATCCACTCTTTCAAATCGCTCTCCTCCTCCTCCATTAACGTCTCCGCGCCAGCCATTCCCTGGAGAGCAGTAACGACGCCAATAACTACTGCTTCCTGGTACGACCGCAGTATCACATGCTCGGGATGAACCAATTCAATTCCCCACAACCCAATTCGAAACCTCTCCTTCTCTTTCGCTCCGCATCATCATCATCATCATCAGAAGAAGAAGAAGAAGAAGCTCCACAACAACAACAACAACAGCAATCCCGCCCTTTCGTTATTACACCATGCTCAGAATAGGAGACAAGAGGCGGATGGAATGAAACGGCTGTTCCCATCTTATATTGCTCTCGCCGAGAACCCCTCCCTCCTCCATCGCCACCCCCCGACATTAGTTGTCGTCCTTGTTGCCCTCCTTCTCGTTCCTTTCGCCTTTTGGCATGGCCTCTTCGGTGGCCAGCATGCACGCCGCCGACGAGTGGCGCGACCCCGGTCGCCTCGCCGCCGCCGTCTTCGGCGCGGCACACGCTCGCACTTCCTTCTCCCCTGCTCACCTCAGGAAAGTCCTCGTTCGCCAGCCGCAGAGCACCGATGCACCTTCCTCCTCCTGTTCCACGTCTTCTTCTTCGGTGGCTTCGACTGCTGTTGCCAATTCCGTCGTAACGAATGAGGACGACAGGGGATCGCCGGTGACGGCGAGGAAGCGGCAGTCGCAGATCCTAGACCGGTGGGCCGCGCGGCAGGCGCGGGAGATGGTCACCACCATCGAGCGGCAGGCGCATGAGGCCGAGATATCGGCTTTGACTACCGTCGCGCAGCCCGTCTCCGCCCGCGCCGCCTCGCTGCTCCGCGAGGCGTCCCCCGAGCCCTCCGAGACCTGCTCGGGCAGCGCTCCCGCGTCCACCTCCGGAGCCGGCGACCTGCCGCGCAGCGTCCGGGCCTCATCTTTGATACAGATGTGGCGGGAGCTGGAGGCCGAGGCCGGGCTCACTCCCAAGCACCGCCCGGCGAGCAGCGGTGGCAACGCAGAAAACGCCAATGCCGCCTCCACCGACGAGCCCTCGGGTGTTAACTCCGATGGTATCGAAAACGCCAATGCCGCCCCAACCGACGAGCCCTCGGCTGTTAACTCCGATGGTGTCGAGGATTCGGATGCATCTGGTGACTGGGAGTCCGACATGACAACTACGGCGACCAGCGAGCCAGTGAATCCGCCTTCTTCATCGAATGAGAACGACAAGGGCCGGGTGGGGAGCATCGTGAAGATGCTGAGCTCAGGGGACAGAACACGCAGCTCCATGGCACCGTTGAACCATGACACCAAGCCGATGCGGCGAGAGAATCCGGTGACGACGGATAAGGCGGACAGTTTCTGCAGCACGGGCTCGTCCAGTTTGAGACTGAGGGGGTTGCGAGGGCGGCGAGAGATGGAGGATTTGGTCGCAAGAATGGAAGAGGAGAGGCGGAAGGAGCTCGCGGCATTGGCCGACCATCAATGTGTCTCGCGGTTTGCGCATCGCGGCCGCCTTCAGGTGAACTGCAACAGCCTTTCTTATAGCTTTCACATTTTATGAGTGGTAACGATGTAGGCTTCACATTTTAGTAGAGTTTAATTGCTTTAGATTCTCGGTAATAAATATATTGACATGCTTCTCTTCAATTGCCCTTCTTAAGCACACAAGGAATTTGGTAGGTGTACTGTAATCTCTTGTGTATGATTAGGTGATGAAAATTTTCTCTTTCCAGCTTCTTATGCATGCTTGGTGGGAAAACAGAGGTAAGATGTAGTCTCATATATTGTCTATTTGATGGACAAGATACAGACATGACATTCTTTTATCTTTTCTAGAACATAACTTCATGGAACTCATTTTTTTACTACCAGAAACATTTCTGCTCCTGAAATTTAAAGCCAGAGCTTTCCTTGCTTGTATCAATGCTTTCAGAAACTTATTGTTTTGGCGAATAATGTCCATAATACTCCATGCTAAGTACAGCTCCAACTGGGTACAAGATCTGGCTGAATATAGTTGCTCATAAAGTATATTTAGTGTAGGAAGAATATTACAGTTCATTCTTAATTGATGTTGGTGTCAAATGCGATCAATCGTTATCCTCAGTAATGATAGAAGTTCACCATATCTCTGTTAATTGTCAGAGTGAAGTTCAATAAAGGAGTGAGATCTTAATTGAGTTAGTAATTCTAGGTGGATTAACACTGCCAGTATTGAAAATTTATTGGGTGACATAACCATGGAACAGAGAGTTTAAACTTGACTATCATCCTAGTTTGGCATTAGGAACATCTTTCATCCTTTTCCCCTTCATCTATTTAAGAAAAGATCATTCTCTCTCTCTCTCTCTTAGGAAACAACCTAGTAGAGGAGATTTCTCAATTTTCTTTCTTGTCTACGGATACTACTTGTGCAGGGAAGATATAGAAAAGATGATGCCTGCTCTTTTGTTTTAGTGCAAAATCTCTAAATCAGCAAGATTCTGGC